TGCTACAAGCATATTCCTGATGTTAGGAGAAGGAAGCTTGATGATAAGAGTGAACCTATGATTCTGGTAGGATATCATAAAACTAGAGCATACCGGTTGTTCAATCCAATTAATCAAAAGATTGTGATGAGTCAAGATATTGTGATTGATGAAAATTTTGTTGGGATTGGAATTCTAGTAATGCAATTGATAAGCCATTAATGAGCTATGATTTCATGAAGCAAGTAATGATATCGAAGTTGAAAATATTATCAATATTCTAGTTGAAGTCGAAACAGTTGCTGACATTCCTGACATAGTCGAAGTTGATGAGGATATGGTTGGTGTAGAGGGGAAGTTTATGAGTGTAAGCTATTGATTAACTTAACTAAAAATATTGCAAGAGTCGTCACCGCACTTTTATTTTATCAAAAAGAAAAGGAAAAAAAAGCAAACAAAACCCAAACAAGTTCTAAAACAAGAACAAATAAACAGAGATCTAGGTAAGGGGGTTGGTTACGCAATGGGAAGATGTTAGCATCCAAAACGTCTATAGTACTATATAGGAGCCCTTTAAAATATCTACACTTTATTGGTTTGAAAGAGTTTGTTTGAAAGAAGATTGGGGATATGAGAAGAGAATTATTTTTAAATATTTTTTGTGTTTAGAGAGACTTATCGCCTCATGCCTACGCACCCGCAAAGTGAAATATAGAATCAAAACCTCGTAGTTCGTGGCACAAATAACCATTTTTTTTATTGATTTTAGATGTAAAGACAAGTCTCAATTTTAAGGAGAAAACTATGAATAGTCGCCCACAAGTATAAGACAACATTTGCCTCACCTAAGATGGAGGATTTTGCTTGGATTAAAATCAAAAAGTCTATCACTCAACATCTAAGTGGAAAATGTCAACATCTTAAATACTATGGGGAATAGGAGAATTATATCTCAACTATGGAAATGACTCATGTCTAAACTTAAGACAAATTTTTAAAAGGAAAAGTGCACAAAGGCACAAAAAGTTTGAATGAGGTGAAGTTTTTTTTATATCTTTTTTGAAATTGGTCAAAATATGATTAACATTGATTGATATTTACTAAAGAAAACAAAGTTTGAAAACCACTTGACAAAGGTCATGGTTTTATTGTGAAAGCGGTTTTAAGTTTGAAAACAAGACGGTTTTTGAAAAAGGAATGAGATTTTGAAAATTTAAGAAGGGGAGGAGATGAAGTGACTTTCCTAGAAAGAAAAATAAAAGCTAGAGATAAGAAGGATCTAACCAAATTATAGCATACTTCATAGCAAGACAAATAAGAATTCCATCCATCTTGAAGCATAAGCAAATGAGCAAGCCAAATAAAGGCAAAGATCCATAATAATCCAAGCAAACGAAAAAAGACCTAATTCTAAGTCCAAGGGTCCAAAAATAGTCCAAGAGGTCCAAGGTCTAAGAATAGTCCAAGAGCATAACCACAAAGTTAAGAGCACCAAGTTTTTTTAAAGGTTTAATCATTTATTAGTGCTTTGAACAAGATATAGTCCAAATGGAAAAAAAGAAAAAAGAGTGGAAGTATAAGCAATAATATCATATGAGATGATAATAATGGAGCATAAACATAAAAGAGAGATAGGGAGCAAGAAGGAAACATAAACAAAATTAGTACAATAATATTGTTAGTGAGTTAGTAATTAGTTGTTAGAGCAAACAATCAACAATGGTTAACTCATGCACTTAGGCCAAAGTTAATGAAGACTCATTAGAGAATTGATAAAATCAAAGCCTCCTAACAACAAGTTTCATAAATGGTGGACCTAAGACAAATAATCAACCATACTTGAACTTTCAAACATAAGTTTGAGCCACGAATGATCATTTTCCGATTATGGGATAATTTTGTGCTATGTTAAGCAATCGTAATCGAGTTTATGTAGAAACCACGACTTTCTGAGGCCGGTCAATAATAATGTTAGTGCTAATGCATGCTAGAGAAGTGATATGTAAATCACTCTTCGAAAGAAATACCACACGAAAAGAAAATTGGAAACGATCTCATCTTCATTAAGAACTTGAAATAAGTTCAAATGACATCGAAGATTTTCATCGATCAAAAGAAAGAAAAAAAAAAAGAGGAGAGGGAATGCCAAATTGAATTACAATTTTAAGGTCCTTCCATCTTTAAGTTCATCCATTCATCTTGGTGTATTAAAGCACTAAACATATCATTAACTCAAAGCACCTAAAATAAATTGAACAATTCACTTTAAAGATATATTTGAATTAGTGACTGTTTATCCAACTTCATCTACACCCTAAGTCCAATGAATTTAAAGATGAAAAAAACATTTAAAAGTGCATTCCAAGAAAAAAATCAAAAGGAAATGGAAGAAGAAGAAGAAGAAAGAACCAAAACAGTCCCAAAACAAAGGCAAAATGGAAAAAATGCTCTTGTGTAATCAATTACCACCAAGAGGGTAATCGATTACCACTGCTAAAACAACAACAAGTCCACTTTTAAAATGTTCAAAACTTGATCAATCATTTCTTCAAACACCTCATGATCAAGGATGCAATTGAGTACGAAAATTCAAATAAAAAAGCAGCAATCAACACCAATAGAATACAATTTGCAAGATCCAAAGATCAAGCAATAAGAGTCAACAATAGACCATATTGTGAAGGATGTATCAAGAGCAACAATGGTGGATCAAGAAATTACCACTTCAAATATGAAAATTCTTCAAATCAACTCCACAAACCACACTTCAAAGCCTTTATCTACTGAAATTGATGATGAAAAAGTGAATGGATGAAGGTTTAGCTCAAAGATTAGTAATTTCTAGTGATGGAATTACTAACTTTCAAAGGAAGAAAGAGCTTTGGTGAATTTAGTAGTTGGAGAAAAAAGAGAGAGTCAAGAAAGAATTTGACAAAGTGAATTTGGCTATCAAAAGCTTGTGAAATAAGAGAAATGAAGCCTCTATTTATAGGAGTTAGGCTTGGAAAATTTGGTGGATTGGAGTTTAGTTTAGAAATAAAATTCGGCTTGGAATTTGAATTTGGAGGCAAATTAATGATCAAGCGGTGATTAGTGAAGGTGTATGGTGGGAATTAATTATGATGAGGTAGGGGAATTGAAATGAAGTGATCTAGAATATTATCATGATGAAAAATTTGAATTTGGTGCCAAAAATGCTGCCGAATTTGAATTTGGCCAATTTTCACAAAATGCGCACAGGGTAATCGATTACCCTAATACTGGTAATCGATTACCATAGGCAAAAATGGTGAAAAATTGCCTTTTGATGTGCTGTTTTGGCTTTGGCTAGATTCTTTTGCTTGTCAAAGAAGGTATGAAAATAAACACATGAACCTTGGAGTCTCTTGAATAATTATCAATCAAATCTTGGGAAACTCTTGATCAAATGATTTTGAATTGTTTGCATATCAACTTTGACTTTGTTCAGATGAAATTCATTCGAGTTGAGGGACTGGTATTTGATATCTTTGATCCAAATTCTTCCTAGAAAGGTTAGTAAAGGAAAAAAAATATTTTTTTTTTATATTTTGAATAATGGTTAGTAAACATAAACATAAACAAATATCAAACAAACAAGAAAACAAGGGTGTCCAGTGATCTCTCAAGAACAAATCTGCAGAGGAAGGCAAGAAAACCAAAACTTACGATCTTGTTTGTGGAATGAGATGCAAATGATATGTGGGATCTTATGGGTAAAAATTAGGGTATTATAGCTGGCACAAGCCAAAACCCTCAAAGAACTAGAGTTCGTCCAGCAAGACTTCAAGACTATGAAATGGTTGAAGATAATAAAGTTACAACAGATAGATAACTAGTTCATTTTACTTTACTTGTAGGTGTTGAACCAATCAACTATAGAGAAGCCTTCAATGATAAACAATTGAAGTCTACTATGGTCGAAGAGTTACAAGCAATTGAAAGAAATAACACATGGGAGTTGGTCGGATTGCCAGCTCATACAAAAACTATTGAAGTGAATTGGGTGTTCAAGTTAAAGCACAATGTTGATGGGTCGATAACAAGACATAAGGCAAGATTGGTAGCTTGAGAGTTTCTTCAAAGAGCAGGACTCGACTACTCTGAAGTATTTGCACATGTTGCAAGATTGGAAACTGCTCGACTAGTTGTAGCTTTGGCATGAAAGGACTTTTACATGAAGAGGTGTATGTCACACAACCTCCTAGGTTTGTGATTCAGGAGGATGCAAAGAAAGTATACAAGTTGCACAAATCGCTATATGCCTTAAGCAGGCACCTAGGGTATGGAACAAGAAGATTGACTCATACTTGATCGATTCGGGATTCATCAAATACAAAATTTAGTATGGTGTATGTGTTCAAGTTGTAGCACAAGATATAACAATCATCTACTTATATGTTGATGACTTGCTAGTAATTGGAAATAGTTTGAAGAACTTGTCAAAGTTCAAAGAGCTGATGAAGAAGGAATTTAAAATGTCAGATCTAGGAAAGTCGTCATACTTTCTAAGCATAAAATTTCAAATGTCGAATCAAGGTATGGTATTACATCAAAAAAAGTATGTCAAAGAGATACTCAAAAAATTCAGAATGGATGATTCAACTATGCATCCTTGCCTATCAAACCAAAATTAAAGTTGAAAAAGCATGGTAAAAAAGACAAAGTTGATGCAGTTTTATTTAAACTTTATTTTTAAGCTCTAAATTAATTGACTTAGCACCTATTTACTTTTAGGTTCTCTTTGTTATTTAGGCGTGTGAAAAGCTATATTATATATCATGGTGACCACTATAATATTAAAAAAAATAACTATAACCATTAAACACTATAATATATATATATATATGCTTCATAATCACAAATTCTAAAGGAAATACTAACCAAATAAATCCTACAACTTATTCCTTATTACAATCAATCAACATTAATAATTATATAGTCCTTGATCCATCTTTAACAGTGACATAGTTCATCCATATCCATCTATCTCACTTGGCTGATCATTTCCAATGTTTCCTTCTTGATAATCCTGAAAAGTAATATGCTCTAAAGAACTCCTCATTCTCCTTTTGCAACTCTCTCCACACTGCACACAAAAATACACATAATCATACTATGAGTCTATGATGTAGAAGAAATTGCAAGTGTAATGTTAAAAACTTGATAAATATACCTGTAAGAGTAACAAGTGGCTCAATCCCTGCATGTTCTTCTAATGTCTTTATGCATTGGTCTTGACTCATTTGAAACATCAAGCACCTCTCTATCAAATTTTGAACCTACATTACAATGCATGAAAGTTTTAAAGCTTATGATATTCAAAACAAATATCATAAAGTATTAAGATGTAAGTGGAATATATATGATAATATAAAAGAGTAGATTCTTTACCATCCTAATATAGCTATGTGGATGACAATGCAAACATGGAAGAGGGTATTGATGGGTGTGATTATGCATTGTGCTTAATTCTGTTGCTAATGGACAAAACAAATATAATAGAAGAAAGAAAACAAACCGAAAAGAAAAAGTACATGAAATGATAGATATTTTCGAGTAATATATGTTTTGTTTATATATAATATAATATATAGTATTTTGAGTATATAGCAATGAGTGTCACACTGTGTTATCCATACATATCTAGAGTGAAGGGCCAAAATAGCTTATGAAATCCAAATGTTAGATTCACCTCATCTTTTAAAGAGATAAGTGATTACTATATTATATAATGTGAGTGACATGTCACTTTCTTTTTTTTCTTTTTTTCTTTAAGGCTGAATATTTGTGTTGATTTAGATGAAAATGTGGACAAGGGTATAGCCACATGAGGTTTAATACTACCTAATGTATATTCAAAAGGGTCCTACATTCTTGAAATGCCATGAATATGGAGTGGTCCTACAAAACAAGAGGAGACACCTGTTCCCATAATAATTAATTTAGTGAAACAGGATATTATGTGGAAAGAAACATGGAGAAAGAAAAAGAAAAAGTGCCACTTTTCAGAGCAATTTCATTTGATATATACTGTACTAAATTGTACAATCGTCAATTATATAAAGAAAACGTTTGTTTAGAATACGACCATTGCATTGTATAGGCCCAAAACCTCCATAAAATATCAACCAAATTTATTTTTGGGGAATTTACTTGACACACCAAACTTGTATTTTGCCACCAACTTCAGTAAAACAAAGATTTCAGCGTCATTAAACATTGGATTGGGCTCATTTTTTGAAGGAAGGTTCGCAACACCTGTGTCTATCTTTTAGACGATCGGATCTTTGAAACGAATTGTAAACTAAGAGATATTGGCTTCGCAACGAAGCTACAATTTTGACTATTTTTTAACTTCTTATTTCTTATTTGTAAGCTAGTTTGCCTGTTATTAGCATTAGTTTGTGCATCACTTTGAGTCTCTTTTGTCCCCTTATTTTGTTATAATGAAGCTATTTTTTTGGTATGGACGACCCATGATTTTTCACTCTCACATTGAGAATTTTTCTAGTTAAAATATCAGTGTTCTCTTATGCCTTTGTTTGTTTAATTTGATGCCTTATATTTTTTGTTGATCATCATAAATTCTTACAAATTTGGAGAATTTTATTTTCGCTACGTATTGGTTAGTTATTGTGTGTTAATTTTCCATCTGAGTACGTATCATAACATTTGGTTAGGGGCTATTTTACCTGTTTGAATAATGGAGTCAAATACAAATATGAAGATGGTATTGTTGAATGGTTCTAATTATCATTTATGGAAGGCCAAGACGAAAGACTTAAAGAAATTGTATTTACCCATTTTTTAGCTCCAAAAAGCTTAATTTTATGTCTGATGAAGAATGGACGTTTAAAAATCTCCAAGTATGTGGTTTTATTCAGCAATATGTAGAAGATAATGTTTATAATTATATTGCTAATGAGATACAAGCAAAAAACTTGTAGGAGAAGATAAAGTCCTTGTATGCCCCTAAATTAGGGAATACTAAATTTTTCTTGTTAAATAGTTTCATAAGTTTGAAGTATAAGGTAGAAACGTGTATTTCATATCTCTTGAGTGAATTTCAAGGGCTCCTTGATCAAATGTCAAGAATGGGTATCAAATTTGATGATGAGATTTTAAGACTATTTTTATTGCTATCTTTACTCATCTTGGGAGATATTTCATTTTTCTATCACAAATTTTACTCTTATATGTGTTATTTTTTTTAGAAACAATTATGGGTGGTATTCTTAATGAGGAGATGAGAAGGAAGACACATGGTTCTTCATCTCAATATGAGGTACTTGTCACTAAAAATAGGAGAGAAATAAGAATAAAAAACCGAAGGGTGGTAGAGAGAATAGCAGAAGCAAGTTCAAGTAACGATATAAGAATTTGGAGGATCATTATTGTCACAAAACAAGATATATACATAATTATTGCTATCAGTGGAAAAGGAAAAAAAAAGGCAAGAAGGATAAGTCTAAACAAATAGGTCATGAAGATCATGATGATGGTCGTATTACTATTGCTACTATTGATGATCTTGTTTATCTTTGTGATCACGAGTTTGCTAATTTTGTATCAGATGAGAGCATGTGGATAACTCATAGTGGTACTACATTGCATGTTACACCGAGAAAGGAGTTCTTCACATATTATACTTCTGGTGACTTTTGAGTTTTGAAGATGTGTAATGATGGTGTATCTAAAGTGATTGGTGTTGGTGATGTTTTCTTGCAAAATAACATGAGAATGCAATTGTTGCTTAGAGGTGTCAAACATGCTCTAGATGCCGACTTTAATTTTATATCTATTCATATGCTTGATGATTGTGGTTATGAAAATCATTTTGTTTCTGAAAAGTGTAAACTAAGAAAATGTAACTTGATTATGGCTAGAGGGGAGAAACTTTCTAAATTATATTATACAAAAGCTTTGGTTGCTAGAGGTAGTGTGAATGCTATTGACATGGAAGCATCTTTTTGGAACCAAATACTTAGTCATATCAGTGGTAAGAATTGAGTTTTTTTGCAAAAAGAATGTGCTTCCAATATTTAAGAATTCAAATTTGAATATGTGTTCTCATTGCATGAATGGTAAACATACTAGAGTGTCCTTCAAGAGACATTCTCCCTCAAGGAAGTCAAAGTTGCTTCAAATGGTACCTTTTGATGTTTGTGGTCCATTAAAGGTAAAATCCTTTAGTCGTAGACTTTATTTTGTTACCATTATTGATGATTGCTCTAAGAAACTATAATATATACCTTGTAGACAAAAGAACAAGTGTTGGAGAAGTTCAAATAATTCCATGCTTTGGTTGAGAGGCAGACAGGCGAGAAGGTAAAATGCGTTCGTTTTGACAATAGTGGTGAGTATTGTGGACCCTTTAATGCATATTGAAAGAGGCATGGTATTACACATGAAAAGACCCCACCTAAAACTCCATAGTTGAATGGTTTAACAAAGACAATGAATCAAACACTAATTGGGAGAGTGAGGTGTATGCTCTCGGAAGTTAAGTTTCCCAATCATCATTGGGGTGAGGCGTTTTACACGGTGGAACATGTTCTTAATCTCATTCCTGTTATTGCTTAAAATAGTGAAGTTCCAAATAAAATTTGGTTTGGACAGAATGTCAAGTATGATTATTTGAGAGTCTTTAGTTGTAAGGATTTTGTGCATATTTTAAAGGATAAAAGATCCAAGTTGGATGCAAAGTCAAAATAATGTATATTCATCGGCTATGGGAAAGATGAGTTTGGTTATAGGTTGTGTCATACCCAAAATTTTACCCTTAGATTCTTTGATCTTTTATATATCATTATAGGTCAATCATTCATGCATGACTAACCAATTATCAAACTTTATTTTGTTTCAACTATGGACTAGGGTTTGCTTCAAGAGGCTTCAAAGGTTGATCAATCAAGGTTTTGGATAGATCACCAACCAATCAAGTTCTCATACTCCTAAAGTACCTCCCATCCTCATAATTCAGTGCAATATGACTTCATCACAAGTTCTTCGAGGCTCAGGTCTTGCAAGATTGAATCAAGGATCAGGCAAGGTCGTCAGGTCAAAGGTGTGCACTGTGGTTTGAAACTCAATGGAAGTTTGACCTAATCTTAGTTAAATAAGTGGTTTGCTTCAGTATCAGTCATCGGACTGTGGCAAAGGCAGATGTTTCAAGGTGGATAATCATCAGAGACAGTTTAGTTTCAATTAGGATTTTGGTACAGTGGCAGTATATTTCATATCTCAATTTATATGTGTCATGAGCTACTTTGAAGGCAAGTGTGGATTGAATTAGAGTACTTGTGTTTGAAGATCAAAATCAGGTTTTGTACAAAGTTTAAGTTACCTGGTGAAGTTAAGTTGAAGAGCTATCAAAGGTCAAGATATTTGGTCAAAATTTTCAACTCATTCACAAGTTCTGACTAGGTGTCATAAGAGAGTTCAAGCTTTCTACTCAATTCAAGATTATTTCAATACGGAATCAGGATGAGGTGGAATTGATTCAGAGTTTCAATGCCTGTCTGGTATGATTTTAATGAACATTTCAAGATGCTGAAAATTAGTGTCGAGAATGATTTGTTGGTTCAAGTCTGTAGTGTCACTTATTCAAGCTTTTGTTTCAAATGGTTCATTTTAGTCATTTTATCAAGATTTAAATCGAGATTTCAACTCATTTCCTAATGGATCCTTAAGGAGATTTCAGAGATATTTCATGGGGTTTTGCTTAGAATTATTTCAAAGAATTTTGGACGATTCAACCAAGTTGAACCATTTCATCAGTCCAAATATAAGAAAACAAAACCAAGTTCAGTCTCAACGGTTGCGTAACCGACTCCCGAACCCAGACAACGGTTGCGATGACCTTGTCTTACCCTTTTCGTCAGGTTTTTCCGATCGTTTCCTTTCCCGCTCCGAGGGATAAATAACGAAAGGTGGAGACTCTTCTGTTTTGCCGGCACCTTATTTTCGCGGAAGCGACAGCTGGAGACTCTGCTGGGGACTTGATAGTTTCCTGGGATCCAACGTCCCGAATGCGAGTCAGTTTGGGGATCCGACGTCCCCTGCGAGAGTCAATCCTAGCGCTTGTATGATTACTTGTTAGGTTGTGTTTATTTATCGCATTTTATTTCCCGCACTTTATCTTTCAGTATGATATGATTATCTGTGCTGTTGTGGGAGGGGCATTCTGATGAGTGAGAAGCCAGACCCAGGCTTGAGTGAACATAGCATTAGTTGTGGAAATTAGTGGGCGCGTGCTTGCTTGGCAGGCACTAGTGTCTCATGAAATCCACGCTCATACGAGGTTCTCCCGGTTGGCTTCTTTTTCAACCCTTTGGGTTGAGGGGGTTGTTGGTTTGGAGGATTGTCGACTCTGGGGACCGATCATTTGTGATTCAGCCGAGTGAGGCCGCTTCATGAGTTGGTGATGCCACACCTTCTGGGTATCCTATCACCCCTCT